TCTCAACGTTGCTTTAGGAAGTCTCGACAGTCACGATAAACGGCTTTCGATCCTTCCAACCCTTCTGCAAGGAGATGTCTTCCTCCACTTCTCCTGCTTCGGGTCGAAGCAACTGGGTTGAGAGAAGTCTCATGTTAATCAATGTTTTGATGATTAGCTCACTCCTCATCAGAGATACCCATATCAAAGGAAGGTGACCCTCCGTGTTGGGGGGCACCCAAGTGATGATTGATGTCCACAAGGGTAACGAGCTCGCATGTTTGAGTACGCCTAGTTTTGTGGAGCATCTCAAAGAGTTTCTCATACTGCTACTGGAGGACCTCATTCTTCATTGCTATCTTGTTGTTTTGAGCTTCTAGCTCATCGACTTTAGCTTGGAGAGCAACCCTATTTCCTTCCTTCTTTCGTTGTTTTGCACTAGGTGCAAGATGGGTGTCATTCTGTGTGTTGTGGCTTCCTTCGCTCCCCATGTTGGAGAAGGATGCCTGGTCAAAAGAGAGTGTACGAATGGTGGAAACCAGCTTGGCAAAGATGAAGAGAGTAGGAATAAGTGTCGTTCCCGTAGACGGCGCCAAATGTTGATGCACAAAATCAGTGAGGACTTTGGTACAACAGAAAGTGTTAAGTTTGTGACCTTCGCTAGATTGCTCCGGTCACTAGTGTGGATAAGTATGTAAATGGATAGGGACAGGGAAGCAAACACAAGATGTACGTGGTTCACCCAGATTGGCTACGTCCACGGAGTAGATGAGTTCTCATTAATTGTGAAGGGTTTACACAACTACATAGGTTCAAGCTCTCCTTTAGTAAGTACTAGTGATTGATTTAGTACAAATGACATTATGAAATATTGTGAGAGAATGATCTTTATTTATAGAAGAGAGTTTCTAGTTTCATTCTGACATTGACACGTGTCGTGTTGTGATTGGCTTCTGATGTTGACACGTGTCGCGCTATGATTGACTTCTGATATCAACAGGTGTCGCGCTATGATTGGCCTCCTGTTTGGAAGGAAACTCTTCTGGGTCCTTGACGGTATAACGTTGACCGGTGCTCAATAATTTCGGAATTGATCAAGTATGGTACAAACAAGTTTTTCTAGTCCTGTACTTTTATTTAAGCATCTTTTTCAACAACAAAAAAAAATAATCCCACCTGTCTCAACAATAAAATTAACATAATAACGATTTTGATAATGAATTTATACCCATAATAATTGATAAAATTATATTGGTGAGGTCCATATGACTTACCCTGAGCACTACCCCACACGAGCGTTGCCCGGTAAAACTATTCTGAAGTAACTAACAGTAACGAACTCGTATATTAGACCACTTCTCAAACCTCCTCCTGACCAATCACAACACGACACGTCACTATCCGTAACACCAAATGAGGGGTATATTAGTCATTCGAGGCGGTCACAAATAAGCCTCCTCTCTGCAGATCACTGCTAGAAATCGTTACAGTTTCTTTCTTTTCGTTCCAGAATCGATTCGCTTACCGCCTGTTTGGTTGCCGAGAAAATGAAGGATTTCGACGGAAAATGTGAGATTTCTCGGATCTTTAATTTACTGTTATTGCAACAATCTTGATCCTACGAATGTGAAAAATCTAATCTCACGCCTGATAAGTTCCACAATCACTGAAATTGAGAGTTCTGTTTTTACGGCTCAAGATTTTGCATTTTTTTTTGAAATTTTATATAATTTGATACGCAATTAATTAAGCAGATTTGCATGCTAGGATTTATTTGGTAAAAGATCGTGGCACGGATCGCACATCTTGTTAATTTTATATATTTTTTTGATTTTTTGGTAGTCGAATTGCATTTCGGAACTTGCGATTCGATTTTTATGAATATTTATAAAATGAATAGATTCGGCATTATCTCATCGTGTGCAGAGATATCGATTCCATCGAGTACTTGAAGCACTTGGGTCATATGAGGTTCTTACTTGGTTGGATTGGTCCCCAAGCCCTTGATTCGGATGTGCAGATTTTTCCAGTTCTTTCAAAGAATCAATCGTCATTTGCTGAATTCGCAGAGGTAAGAATCGAGTTTTCTCCGCGAAATTTTGTATTTTCGTTTAGACTTGTGAGCATTGTTGAGTCTTGAATTGAAAATATAATGCCGCGGATCATTGAAACACAATGCCGACGGAGTGGAGGTCATAAATAGTCCCAATTAAGGAATTGGGGAGTCTGAACTTTCCTTTACACTACACATTCTTTGAGTCTTGAGTTGAAAAGATAAACTTTTTTAGATCGTTGAAATACAATGCTGAGTGGATGTCATAAAAACAGCCCTCGGAAAAGGAATTGGCGGAGTCTGAATTTTGTATTTTCGTTTAGACTACTGAGCATTGTTGAGTTTTGAATTGAAAATATAGACTGTTTGGACGTTGAAACACAATGCCAAGTGAGTAGAGGTAATAAATAGTCCCAATTAAGGAATTGGGGAGTCTGAATTTTCCTTTACACTACACATTCTTTGAATCTTGAGTTGAAAAGATAAACTTGTTTAGATCGTTGAAATACAATGCTGAGTGGATGTCATAAAAACAGCCCTCGGAAAAGGAATTGGCGGAGTCTGAATTTTGTATTTTCGTTTAGACTACTGAGCATTGTTGAGTTTTGAATTGAAAATATAGACTGTTCGGACGTTGAAACACAATGCCAAGTGAGTAGAGGTAATAAATAGTCCCAATTAAGGAATTGGGGAGTCTGAATTTTCCTTTACACTACACATTCTTTGAATCTTGAGTTGAAAAGATAAACTTGTTTAGATCGTTGAAATACAATGCTAAGTGGATGTCATAAAAACAGCCCTCGGAAAAGGAATTGGTGGTCTCTGAATTTTGTATTTTCGTCTAGACTACTGAGCATTGTTGAGTTTTGAATTAAAAATATAGACTGTTCGGACGTTGAAACACAATGCCAAGTGAGTAGAGGTAATAAATAGTCCCAATTAAGGAATTGGGGAGTCTGAATTTTCCTTTACACTACACATTCTTTGAGTCTTGAGTTGAAAAGATAAACTTGTTTAGATCGTTGAAGTGCAATGTTGAGTGGATGTCATGAAAACAGTCCTCGGAAAAGGAATTGTGGGGAGTCTGAATTTTCGTTTACACTATGCATTCTTCAGTCTTGAGTTAGGAAGATTGACTGTTCAGATCGTTGAAAAGCAATGGTGAGTGCTTATTGCTTATTGTATAAACAATCCTGAAGAAGGAATAGGAGGAGTCTGAATTTTTGTTTGCACCAAGTATTCTTGAATGTTGTTTGTTAAAGATTATGAGGAGCTCTCTTTCATGTGTAGTCTAGTCTTGAATATTATTTTCGAGAAACGAGATTTGATATCACAAATTTGGGGGTTTCTTATGCCCTGTTTATTTTGTCAGGTGGGCTGCGGGAGTCTGAAATTTTCGAGTAGAGGAAGTTGTCTGTTTGGGATTTCGACTTTGGGGAAGAAGAAGGGAGAAGGGGGGGAACATATGCTATGGGGCAAAGAGGGGAGCATATAGCACTCAAGTTCCGGATTTACGACGGGACAGATATAGGACACAATAGTTATGCACCATCTATGACGGTATCATCTCTTAAGAAAAGGCTACTTGATGAGTGGCCTCAAGGTAATTTGATTATTCTTTGCTCGATGAAATTGGAATTTGATGAACTTGATTTGCTGAAAACGAGATTTGATGGACTGATCGTGCTATAAATAGATACATTCATACAAAATTTAGCTGCATTTAATGTATGTATACATGTTTCGATCACAGCAGCAAAAACAGTGACGCCGAAGTCAGTAGACGAAGTGAAAATCATACATGGGGGCAGAGTTTTAGAGAATAGCAAGACACTTGCTGATTCCAGAATAACCGCCGGTAATCAGACCGGTGAGGCTGTGATCATGCATGCCGTAGTACAGCCTCTTGTACCCAAAAACAAAAAGACAGGTTAACTTGTTTTAATCTTCGTTATAATCAAGTTGTTTCGTCACAAGTGCAGATTGACGTTTTTGTTTGTTCGAAAAATCTTGAAATCTTTGAAGTACGATCTTGTTTTGTTAGTTATGAAATATTTGGGTTTGGAATTTCCTGCATGTTCATGGAGGATGATCAGAGCCTAATGTCTATATGGGATGAGTTTTGTGCAGGTAAAAACCAGAAAGATATGCAAAAGATGAACTCATGCTCTTGCACCCTCCTTTAATCTGGGTAGCAGGCTCTCTGCAGCTTCGGTTGCAGAGGACGGATCGCGTTTGATTTTCACAATTTTTTCGTAATTTTTTCGTAATTTTTTCCTTCATGTTTGATGTAAATGCAGTGTAAAATTTTCATTCAAGTATGTAGTCATGCAATTAAAGTTGCCTTTGTTGTTTTAGTGCTCTTTTGTCAGCACGTCACGTGTGTTACTGTTTCACGTGTTATAATGCAACTAATTTCTTACGTTTTATAATTTGAGCATTACCTGACCTCGTTTCAAGTACAACTAAAAGGTTCTCGTGTATGAGATTTACCCTAATACCATGTTTACTTACTCAAAATGAGCAATTTCAAGGGTATTGAAAAATTATTTGAATTCTCTCCATTTGCTAACAAATGAGTAGTGAAATTTTATCGACTTCTGACTTTAAAAGGTTTATGGATTTCACATTACAATCCGTAATCCAAATACTTGAAAAAGAGAGTACAACAACATACAAAGTGAAAAGAGAGGTATAGAGAAATTCTTTGTATGCCTTTTATCTCGCCTTTATTTATAGTAAACATAATGACTGTTACCTCATGTTTCTAATTTTTTTCTTGTACAAGCGGTGTTAATCAATTTAGATTACGAAAATGAAATCCGACCTCGAATACCAAGGAAGCGTATCTGCTCTAGCCAATGCGGGTCTTTTAGCCGTTAAAAAATAGTATTGGGCCTGCATGAATTAGGAATGGGTCCAAGGCCCAATCATTCAGGCGTCTTCTTCTTCCTCGGACTTATTTGACAAGTCCGTAGAGACAACTACCTTGTCTCCTCAAACTCTCTTTACCTCCAATCCATTCAACAACTCGGGTATTCTCCCGCCGCAGCAACCACCCATGGGGGAAGACTCTTCGGCTGCGCCGCCCACTCTTACCCGCCAAGATTTCGGAAAGATGGAATACGGGTAATTTTCGGTTTCGTGTTTTCGCGGGTTTTATCTCAACAACCGCTGAATCTGCTAATGTTCGTTCTTGTTTCTCATAGATGCGACCATTATCGGAGACGATGCAAGATTCGTGCCCCTTGCTGCGACCAGATTTTCCCCTGCCGCCACTGCCACAACGAAGCCGCGGTAAGATATATATATCTGTGTGTGTGTGTCTACGTATGTGTTCATATGTAATTTGGGATTTTTTAACTTTTGTATTTGATTTTGTATGTTTTGTGGTAATTAGAGCTCGCTAAACAACCCGAAAGACCGCCATGAGCTTGTCAGGCACGATGTCAAGCAGGTACGCCCTTTGCCCCCGCATATATTTGTCCATACTTTCAGTGTTGTGTTTAATCATAGTGTTGATTAGTGTAGGTTTTGATGGAAATTATTAATTGGGTTTTGCAATTCATTTTGTAGGTTGTATGCTCAGTCTGCAACACCGAGCAACAGGTTCGATTTTCGCAATTGTCGTGTATTTGAATGGTTTGGAACCTTTTAGGTGAGCTTTATTTTGCCTTCATTGTAATCTGTTTCCAGGTTGCTCAGCTTTGTTCTAACTGCGGTGTCAACATGGGGGAATACTATTGCGACATTTGCAAGTTCTTCGATGACGAAGTAGGATAATTAGCTTCATTGAATTAGATAGAAGTGTCTGAAATTGGATTTCCATTCTTTAGGTTTCAAAAGTTTTAGTATTTAATATCAGATATACTGTTTGGCTAATAATGCAGACTCACAAGGGACAATTTCATTGCAATGAGTGCGGAATTTGTAGGTTAGCCACTGGTCTTCTACCTTTTGTTGATTTCTGTTTTTCTAATCGTGCCCTTATTTCAAACTGAACCATTGCTTTCGTTGGATATTTTATTATCAGAGTTGGTGGTAGCGAGAATTTCTTCCATTGTCAGAAGTGTGGTATGCCCTTACCTTGTTTTTCTGTTTTTTGTTATTTGGTTTTGTAAATTTAATATTTGCATTCCCTGTTATTTTTGTTTTCAATCATACTCGTCCGAGCTTGCACCTATCTACAAAGAGTTGTTTCACATCTTAACTTGGAGAGAGGAAAAATTCCATGATTTTAGGATACTCCCCATGAAAATATTTGTTGAAGATGGAGTGGGGCTTATATAACTCAGAGAGTTAGAGCTTGTGGCTAGAAAGTTGAGACCATGGTAGTGAGGGGTTCAAATGCCTCATTTCCTATAATTGGCCAAAAAATGAACAACCTTTCCTTTCAGAAGTAGGAAAATCACGGTAGAGATAGCAGATCTGTAGCAAGGGCCAAGGGGTGTAACATGAGGTCTGATTTGCGTTTTCTGATCATCTTGCATGAAAACAGGTTCTTGCTATGCAGTGGGTCTGCGTGATAACCACTTATGTGTAGAAGACTCAATGAAGAATCACTGCCCTGTTTGCTATGAGGTCTGAGATTAATTTAGTAGTTCAATAAAATAAATTAAAATAACAATGCTGTTGTTCTAACAACTTTCTTGTTATCCTGACAGTATCTTTTTGACTCGGTTAAAGTCACAAATATTATGAAGTGTGGACACACAATGCATTCAGATTGCTTCATTGAGATGCAAAACCAAAATCAGTTAACTACATTTTATTCCGAGATAGTTTACTCTGTAACTTTGATGATTTAAACTCAAATAGTAGTTGTTTGCTCATAATATGTTTTGGATTTATCTTCCAGATATCGCTGTCCCATTTGCTCCAAGACAGTGCTCGAAATGGGTCATATGTGGAACTTGTTGGATGCAGAAGTATGTATTCTGTTCTCGCTGATTCCGCTTTAATCCTTGTAGTCTACATTACTTTTGTGTTTATTAGTTAACATATAATTGATTTTGGTGTTTGCCACTCATGTTTAAAATTTCACGAGCTGTTTTAGTGTGATTCTGTGTTTTTTTCCCTTAGAAGCAGGTAATGTCCCCCATAAGGGAGTCCACTGGAACTGTGCCCTGCCCCTGCTTCTAGACACCCTAAACATGAGGAATTCTCAAGTGGAGTTGTTCCCTACCCTGCTTTGTTTCTGCCCCCTTCGTGCTTTTAGTATTTTTATTTTTGTTTCTATTTAGGCTCTGGATTTGCACCTTTTAGTTTCTCGTGGATTATCCTCAAGTTTTATAGTAGAACTTAGGTATTCCAGTGCTCGGCATGCATTTCCCATGGCAGTTTCTTTGGATATTTAGAAAGCAAAACCATCCGGGAAAGTTGCTATAGTCACTTTGATGGTGATAATCGTTTTCAAATAATCAAAAGTGTGGCTTTGCATAACTTGTGCTTCCATCACCTTATATTTCTAATCCCAAGCCTCTGTTTAATTCTTCCCCCTCCCTTCCCTAGTTAGGGCGATACCGTTGTAGATTTCTTTTATTGGTTATCAGGTGCTCTCAATCTTGTTTTATTGTTTTTCTTAGCACAGTTGTCACAGACCATGATTTCTAGTAGATAAAACTATCTGGTTTTAGTGGCTTTTGATATATATATTTATGCCTGCCGCTTGCTATCTTACACATCGTCACTGTGATTCTGAAGTTCTTTTCTTTTGGGTGATAGATTGAAGCCACTGCTATGCCTGCGGAATACCAATATGAGGTAGTAGCTTTAACCCTTTTTTGGTCCATCTTTCAGTTAACTTAGCCATAGTTTACAGACCTTGTGCATCTACAGGCCTTGTAATTGGCTTTCATTGATGAGGTCTTTGATCATTGCATGCTTTTCGTTTTTTGGTCTAGAAGAAATGAATTTTTAGATGCAATATTATATCAGCATAGCACTATCTAGTACTCTATTATTCCTAGTCCAATACATACAGAAATTGTCAACTTACAATTGCTTTTCTATTTATTATGTGATTCTTTTTCCTCACCTAAGTGTAAGCATATCTATATACTACACCATTTCGGGAACAAATGGAATGTAAAAAGTTGCACTTGTAATGCTTTTTGCCAGGTATCAATTCTTTGCAACGATTGCAACACAACTAGCAACGCCCCCTTTCACATTTTTGGACACAAGTGCGGCAACTGCCATTCATACAACACCAGTAATAGATAGACCTACAAACCATCAATGACGTTCTGTTGAAAGGTTAGTGAATATGCGAAGGCTATGCAGTGCAGATTAGACTCTTTTGGCTATGCTTTCATCGGTTTGGACCAGAATTGTCCTCTCGTGCCTCTGCCGCGTGTACGCCAAGTGCATGAAAGAATCTACAGCTGCTGTAATTGACTAGGTTCCATTGGTTCATCCAATTAATATCAAATCATCAAGTTATTGTCGAAGCGATAGGAGAACTTGAATAGCCTGAATTGAGTTATTTTTTCGTGATATCTCTGTGGTAATTGCCAGTGAGCAATTTGTCATGCCTGCCTCAAGAAATTTCTTTGCTTTTTGCTTTGTGAAGTTTAATCTGTATGAGAAGATAGAAATCTGTCATGTTTGGTTTGTGATTTCGACCGCTATTTCTTCCTTATGATTACAAGACGCTGTAATGGTAGTTTTTCAAATCGAACAACATGAATTATAACATTTCTCTTTAGCTGACTGCATGAATGGATTGGTAAGGGTAAACACTACGCAGCGGTGTGGCAGTCAGACCTCTCTCTTAACAGCTAGGCCCCTGATTCGCAGCCCCAAGTGAAGGGACAAAAGCGGACTTTGTCCTACGAAGTAGTTTCTTTTCTTCCGCTGGCGGGTTGTCGGCAAGCGCGACGAGAGCCTTGAAAAAAGAACCGGGCATAGGGTACAGAGGCGGAGTCTTTTTGCAAGATTTGAGGGTTGAGAACTTGGGCCACAAGGTACTGAAAATTGACATCCCTCCTCTCACGTGAATTTTGGTGCACAAATTGGAATTGGTCACCCTAGAAAATGAATTTGGACCAACTTTGGTACTTGGTAGTGAGACAAAGGAGTGAATAGTGGTGATTGACGTTGTGGATTGTCTGTGTGCATCTTCAACTTTATGATGTGTTGACCCCTTCGTAGACAACAAGGCTGTTGATGAATTGATGAAGCGGACCCCATTTATGAGGCTTGTGAATGTGATCATATCTTCAATTCATGATATCATTGATTACATCACCAACTTGTAGTTTGAGAGAACCATCTTGCGGGCGTATTTATTTTTTACTAAAAAGGACAAGGATTCTCTGTCCTCTCATTTTCAGTGCCTTTTTATTTTGTGCGGTCACAGTTAAGCTACGTCAATATTTTTATATTATTTTTTTATAGAGATAATAAGACAAAAATAAATAGTAATATAAAATGTTGACGTGACTTAACCATGACCACACAAACAGAAGGGCACATGAGGGCATCAGAAGTGGGAGGGCAGACAATCATTGTCCTACTAAAAATGTGTTTAGGTAATAAAAAAAAAGAGTTTTAACGAAACACTCTTGGTACTATTTATCTTTAATGAAAAATCACATTTTTACATTTTTCTGGTACTATTCACTACACATTTATTTTTCATTTTTCATTAAAACTAAAGTTTTTTTTTTTTTGGTACTTTTCATTAATTTTCCTTAAAAAACTATTCTGACAATGTTTCGCAAAGCGTCTATGGATTATAAAAAGAATGGTGTTATTCACATTTTCTTTTATTTCATACGCATGCTTTGTTAATTGCACTAAGAATCTCTGTAGTTTATTCGAATGTTCACACCTTGTAGTTTGTTCTATTGTAATTTTGTCCTTGTAATTTCATTTTTTTAATACCGTCATTCTATTTTGTCAAATAAGCCAAAACTTCTTCCAAATTCAAATGAGAAAATGTGCAAAACCAAAAAAAATCAACTTTGACAAATTGAACTGAAAGCAACAAAACTATAAGACTAATGAGTAATATTAAGAAGATTAAATTTTATAAATTAAATAACATGAAAATTGATGTTTGAATCACACATAATTTAATTTGTAAATTTATTTTATAAATTTAGTCTAAGGATTACTCAAGACAGATATACGACAAAGCAAAAATTCAAGTAAACTACTTGGACTAGAACTCAAACTTCATAAAGAGATATTACTCATTACTTTATGATTTTGTTCAATTTTTTATTAGTTCTTTTGGAGCTTTTTCAAAAATAAAGACCGTCGACGTGAGGATCTTCTCTGGATTCACATTGTGGAATCTTAGATATTTTCATATTCTAACCGTTCATCGTATATAGTATGGTTAATTTTTGTCAAATATTGTTTATGTTTAATTTAAATAAAAAATCAAATAATTTCTAATTACACGATACACGATAAATAATTAAAATGTAAAAATTCTTAAAAGTCCCACAAAGCCAATCCGGATGAATCCAATATTCCATCGACATGGACGATCAGCCACCATACGAAACATCGAAGCTCGAAGGTCCCAAAACTTGAATCTTCTTCTGATTTTTTATTTATTTTATTCCCTTTTATTCACAGTCCACACAAATAGGAGAGACGTTCATCCTCTGCTGCAAGTATCAACTAGCAACTTCCAAATCCTACCTTTTTCTCTGAGCAAAAAACCAGTCATAATTACTGCAACTGCTAACCAAAAGGTTAAAAATCTAACTTTTCCATTGATTTAGTCTTCATACGATTTAAAATGTTTTTAAAATGATTCAAAAGTGTTTTTAGTATTTTTTACAATAATCAAAAGTTACGTATCTTTGAAGTGTTTTTAAAATTTAAATTATTTTCTGTAAAAACACAGTCATTTTAGAAGACTTCACATTCATATAAAAAGCAGCTACAAATCAATGAACCTTATTTAGGGGGTGTGATATTCACACAATCCATTTTACTTTTCACACACATTTCTAATTTTTAGTCATTGGATCGGATGGATCGAAAAAAATCAACGAATATAAATTAACAAGAAGTATGTAAGAAATAAAATGCACCAGCACATCGCCTTATTTAATATTCCTTCTTCTTCACCAAGTAACGAAAATATTTACAAACTTTGGATAAAAAACGGATAAGAAAATTCATATAAAAGGAAGAACACAAAAAAGCAGAGAGATTTATACAAAAATCTGAAAACCCAGAAAAGTTTGAAAGTCCAGAGAGATTTGTACGGAAATCTGAAGACCCAGAAGCCAGAAAAATTTAGAGATGGAGAAAATTAATGGTGGTACGAGAAATGAAGAACCTGGAGCGACCCAGAAGCGCGTCTGTGATTACTGTGGGACTTCAATGGCGCTGCTGTACTGCAGAGCGGACTCCGCCAAGCTCTGCTTCTCCTGCGACCGCGAGGTCCACTCGGCCAATCAACTTTTCACGAAGCACACTCGCTCGCTGCTCTGCGACGCATGTGATAAATCCCCTGCCTCCATTTTTTGCACGACGGAGGGCTCTGTTCTGTGCCAGAACTGTGACTGGGAAAGCCACAACATTTCGTCGTCCGCGGCGGCAACGGCCGTGCACGATAGGAGGCCGCTGGAGGGGTTTTCTGGGTGTCCTTGTTTGAGTGAGTTGCTTGCGTTTGTTGGGTTTGAGAATATGGATAAAAAAGCTCTGCTTTTGAGTGATGAGGGCGGCGGCGGAGGTGGTGGTGGGTTTTTGGGATGTGGGGTTGATGGCTTTTCGGATTTGGAAGATGGGTTTTCAGACTTTCTGGTTTGGGATACTCCCTCTGTTATTAGTCTTGATGATTTGATCGTTAGCAATCCGGCTTACAAATTTCAGGCCATGGGAGTTCCTCCTCTGCCTAAGGTCTGGATTTTAACCTCCTTTTTCTTTTGTTTATCTTTTCGAGAGTACTGTATTCTAAGCTACTCTAATCTACAGAACAAGGTTTCAAGCCGCCTCACAAGGGGCGAGCACACTCTTTTAGCCAACTGACCTAGCACACGTCTGCATATTTTTAACAACTTTTACTAGTTCTTGCATGCCTTTTCAGTAGAAGCAAAGTTCAATGATGTTCTTCTCTCCCCTTCCCAAAAGAAATGATTTTCAAGTAATATTTCTGGATTACTTGTTTTTTTTTGTTCTCTCAAGATTTCTGGTAAATATTCAGTTTTTGTTTTACAAAAATATACAGAAAATTTGAATTTATAGAGTCCAAAGTATGGAACTTGGGTTTATCTATCCTTTACTGCAATTTTTTGGCACGGTTAAGGATATTGTTGTTGTATCAGAATCGCAATGCTGCTTGTGGCCAACACAAGGAAGAGATAATTCATCAGCTTCGTCTGCTTGTCAAGTCGGAACCCAACCTGTTTAGCGAAGATGTGGATGTTAAATCTCTCAAGGGATTCCAATTCCTCGCGTCCAAACAAAATACGCAACCAGGAAGCTTCCTCACAGGTTTTGGATATGATACAGAGCCAACTGCATTTCCTGCGCAGGAGGTGTGAGTCTATTTTGTAGTACTTTTAGTTTTAAGTTGAAAAATGGTTAACCGTGTTCCTTTCATGTAGGCACATGAATCGCAGTATAATGGTTGCAAGGCTGCAAATCATGATTCGTGCCCGAAAACATCAATGAGGAGCTACCTTCAGGACTGCTGTGTAGCTCCTGACAAACATTCGTACAACGATGGCACTGGAAGTCGTG